GCAACTTCACCTTAAGTGACAGTTTCTTTTTAAGTGGCCTGTGTGTGTCTGTCTTATAAATGCTTCTACGTGATGCACAGAAACCCACCCTATTTTGGCTGGGGACCCTGGTACCTTTCAGGCGCAATTCTTCTCGAGGTTGTACCTTCTGACGGCCCAGACACACAGCTGCTATGTGGCCTTGCTTTCCACATGCTCTACAGATTGCAGAACGGAACCTGCAGTTGGTCCTCTTGTGGCGACCTCCACACCCGAAGCACTTGGTTACAGCTGAAGACTTTTCTTTGCCTTCCTTCTGCTTTCTTTCTTTGGCTAGGTAAAAATGATCCACCTCATCTTCAGGATCTTCTTCCGAGTTCTCCTGGACTCCCTCATGGTGCATGGAGACGGCTTCTGGGTTGTTCTTGATAGGCCTCATGTTCTTGACTGCCCCACCTGCTGCCTTTTCTGCAGTGACCTCTCTCAAGGCATCTTGGAATGAAATGTCCTCCTTTGCAAATAGTCTCTGTTGCAAGTCTCTGTTCCTAAGCCCACATACAAATCGGTCTCTCAACCTTTCTTCTAAGTCTTTAAAATCACAAGGCTTAGCTGCTCTTCTCAAGGCTGCAATGTATTCTTTAACTGATTCAGCAGCTCTTTGATCCTTCTGTACAAAAGTGTGTCTCCACGCAATAATAGACAACTTGGGCTGAAAATGTTCCTTCAATAATTTTTTTAAATCTGTATAAGTGACAGATTCAAGAGGAGCAGGGGCTGCCAAATTTTCAGCAATTTCAAATGCATCTTGACCACAGACACACAGCAAAGTAGCGGCCTTCAAGCCATCTTGTTTTACTTTATTTACTCTAAAGTAATTTTCTACTCTGGCAACATAAGACTCCCATCTTTCTGGATGCGTGACATCGAATTCAGACAGTCTCCCTATCTTCGCCATTCTTGCTTCTCTGTTAGGAAGGGATCTATCAGCCAGCTTACCTCCAGCGACGCTATACTGGCAGGCCAGGTGCTGAGTTTAACGCCGTCTTCCTCTCTCCAGGACTCTTGGGTAAGCTTACAATTCTTCTGTTTTGTTTTTGTAAGCCATCCCACCTTCATCACCAGTGTTGAGTCCTCGAGTCAATGGCGAATGAATACAGCATATTTTGTAATTCCAACAGCCCTTTATTTGAAGTAGTTCTCTCTCCGTCACAGCTCTGAGGCTCGCAGGCCTCTCTGACTCCTTTAATAGCATCCCCGGGCAAAAAGGTAACATTTAGGCATGCTCCGCGCCTCACGCATGCGCACAAAGCTGGCGCCACTCAGTCTGTTCCCGGGCAGCTTGCAACTGCCCAGGATCATTGCAACATCCCGAGCCTGCCTTTGCAGGCTCAGGACACAACACTAACCATTGGTAAAAGTTTTTCCATGTTTTAAAATAGACTGAGTCTTCTTTCTCTTTAATCTCTAAAGTTAATCTATCCATTTCTGCATATTCTAAAATTTTCTTAATTATGATCTCTTCAGATGGTAAATGTTCATTTTTCCAATATTGGGCAAATGCTATTCTCGCTGCTGTCAATATATGCAATATTAAATACTCATTCTGCTTCTCATACTTAGCCAAGCATCTGAATTTTGATCCTGTGACCATGGGAAGCTGCCATCGCCATAAGTATGAAAAATGCTCATGTCACTTTTTTCAGCGCCATTGTAACTTTGAACAATCACTAAATGAAACTGTTGTAAACCGAGGAGTACCTGTATATAAACTAGTCTTTGCTATTTCTTTTTTTTTATTAAAAGTTTTTAAAATTTTACAATAAAAACCCTTTCCCCAATCCCTCCCAACCCTCCCCAAAACCCTCCCCCATTCTTCCCAGAGCTGAATACAGGCTTAACTAGAACTTAAAAGAAAAAATTTTTTAAAACCCAAATAAACCTTAAACTAATATCATTACACTCAATAAACAAATTATGACATACTTTAACTCCATTATATATAAAAAACAAAAAGGAGAATAAAATAAAAAAAGATAAAAAAATTAAAGAATAATAATAATTATACTTCTACATAAATATCTTAAGCTTCAAAAGCTAGATGGTATTTTCTTGTATCATACTTATATTGTATAAAATTTATCCATCTTTTCCACACCTCTATTTCTGAACCTATACCACTTCATGTGAAGAACTGGTTCCTTTTCTTTCCCAGCTGACTTTGATATGCAGGTTCTGAGGTTTTGCTTGATAAAAAATACAGGAAACCAGAAGTTGCCTTCAAGAGTTATGTGTTTATTCAACTGAGTAAAGATGGGCTTCTAAAAAGAGAGAAAAGCCCAAATATCGAAAAAGCCTTATTTTTATACCTTCTTTTGATTACATAAGCTATTCAGCAAAGCTGACACACATAAGATAGAGACTTTGCCCTTTAAGACTGGCACGTTATAGATCAGTGGTGGTGAACCTATGGCTGCATGCAAATAAAAAAAAAGGTTCAATCAGTCAATTTCAACTTCTCGCGGGGAAAAAAAGATCTTGCAAAGTTGGAATTGATTGATTGAACTTTTTAGTCTCACCCAGTCTGCTGTTACTACTGCAGCCACGCCCACCCAATGGGCCATGCCCACCCAATGGGCCACACCCATCTGGCACCCGACGATGCATAAGTGGGTTTTGGGTTGCAGTTTGGGCACTCGGCCTCTAAAAGGTTCGCCATCACTGCTGTAGATAAGTAGAAGTAACTAATATGTTCCCTTTTGTGTGGTTTGGGTGTTTCCCCAAGGCACCATATGTTCCTGGGTAGGTTAGAATATTGGCGGTTTCATTTGCTGTCCTTTCATGACCTTGCAATCATGGATCTGCAAGAGGCCAGAGAGAGTGGAGCCATCTGCACGTATTCACTGTCCTCTAAGTCCGGGTCAACAACAACTTTAAAATAAGAATGGGAGAGTGTTTTTGCTGTCTTGACCATTCTCTCACAAGAACTATATGTAGAAGCAAAGAACAAACGGGATTACTAGCGTAATGTTAATCCTAGACCAGGGCTTTTCAACCAGTGGTACGGGTACCACCTGTGGTACATTGACACCTGGCAGGTGGTACGCGACCATCCTAGAAAAGTAGCGGGGGAGGAGAATGAGCTGAACCGGTGGCAGCACAGCACAAGCCTGAGCGAGAGATGGCTGGATCTGCAGGACTGTCAAGGCTCAGTGGAAGCGCCAGGATTAGCGCCAGGCTCCAGCTGGAGTTCGGGGCTGATCCTCGTGCTTTTGCTGAGCCCAGAAGAAGTGCCGATCAGCTGGAATGTTGCAGCATCTCCAAGGTCTTGTGATTTACATTAAGATGCTTGGCAACTGATTCATATTTATGATGGTCACAGTGTCCCAGGGTCATGTGAAGTGACCAAAACCTGTTGCAACCACCCAGCAGATAGGGGGAATAAAAAATTCCCACCCCACCCCTGCTGCCAATCCTCAACAGAAATGCTCACAACAATGAAAACCTCGGACAGGAGGAAGAGCGCCACCTGGTGGGCAGGCAGGTGTCTTGCTCGGCTGTGGCTTGGGGAGCACTTTTTCAGTGCCATTGTAACTTTGAACAGTCACTAAGCGAACTTTGTAAGTTGAGAACTACCTGTACTTCATCACTTTTTTCCCTTTTTTTTTTTTTGGTCATCAAGTTTTTGACACCTTGCTGGGTGACTGGTGGTACTCGAATATTGCCATATCCTAAAAGTGGTACAATTGGTGAAAAGGTTGAAAATCCCTGTCCTAGACTAGTCACAACATCATTTACATGCTTGGAAGCATGTACCGTTTAAAACCTTAACTTTTATCTCCTCAATACAGAAAGATCATAGAATGTATCAAGGGTTTTTTTTTTTTCAGAGTTTAAGTGAAGAGGACCAAAAGTAACAAGAGTCTTTTTAATATAGCGCATGGTATATAAAATTGTTTAGCTCTCTCTCCCAATATGTTCAGCAAAGTACTCTTTATTAAATATCGTTCTATAAAGATAATAAGCATTTTCTCAAATATGCTATACCTAGGTTAGAAGTCAGGAACGCTGCAATTTTGCATTTCAGCATACACAATTCTTCTATCCTTACTTGCAACATATGAAAAAGTGCTCAAAATATGTTACACCGTGTTTCCCCGAAAATAAGGCTGGGGATGAATACAATAAGTTCTAGCTTGTTTTCCTTTATTTATCCATATTCCATTATAAAGTCACAAATTAGTACTAATTAATATTTAGAGAAACTGTACCTTATAAACAACTATACATACATAGATGGTCTCTATGACTAAAGAAGCTAACATAGTTACTGTTTGGACTCATACTGTTGAGGCCTGAATGCAAAGACAAATAACCAATTATATCTGGAGCCAAGCAAAATTTTAAATCCTGAAAGATAGTGAATGCAATTCTGAATTCAGCAAATATATTTACGTAAGTTGATGATTCTGTTGTAAGCTGAAGCATTTGCTGAATTTAAGGTCTATATGTAGTTCTGTAATTTCATAACTATAAAAGTTTTATGGTGAAATTCTCAAATTATTCTATAGAATTAATTAATTAAATGAATAATAGAAAGATTATATAGGATTATATTCTTAATTATCTTTAAGAAAACTGTAACATTTAGGAAAATTGTATTTGCCTACTCAGTTTACAAGCCAATTATACAAATGGTTATGAAAATAATATCCCTTTGGATTTCATCAAATTGGATTATTGCCTTGAAGTGATGAAATGTGTTCTTTACAAACATAAAGTCTGGTTACAGCAAAGAGTAAGCTTATATATAAAGTATTAAATATGGTTAAGCTGTTGAAATACAGAAGAATTTTTAAAAGTAACCTTATGGAATATTTTCAGAAAGTAAATGATAAAATACGACTGATGTAATTTTAATTTCTATTTCATGGACAGCATAAAACTCACATAAAAACATTCCACTGTTAAATATTTGCTGTTCATAAATTTAGTGACTATAAAAAAAAATGCTTCAGGATATTTTATGCAGTTAAAATGAAGAATTTATTGTATATACAGTTAAACAGTTACATTCTTCAAAGAAATGGATATGGTACTTAAAATAGATTTAGCATGAAAGTACAATAGAGACAAATTAGACTAAAACGGAAGTTATTTTTTACTTAAGAGAGCACAAAACTTGAAATAACAGACAATAAATTGCATTATTAACCAGGACAGTAAAAAACTGTACAGTACAAGCAACACAATACAATAAATTATGGTCAATGAGGCAGTCTTTGATTTGGGATCAAAAGGACAAAATAAGGGATGCTAAAATCTCATAAATCCACCATATCTCTTTTCCATCTCTGGAACCTCTTTGGAATAATTTTCTCCATCATCATCTGAAGGAAGAAGCATATCAGCAAAACGCTTGAGAAATCCACCATATCTTTTCTGGTAGTCCAGCCACCATTCTGGCCTTCCTACTCTTCTCATGAAACCACCATATCTCTTTTGTAACTCTTTGGCATCACCTTCCAACTCTGGACTGCGCTTTATGCTTCTCATGAAGCCACCATATCTCTTAAGGACATCACTATCACTATCACTCAAGTCCTGATAGTGTCCTGTTTCAGCATTTTCCTCTGTTGCAAGAAGCTCCTTTAGAAGATCAGACGAATTAGCTAAACCATCATCATCTGAATCTTTCTTCATAAACCCTCCGTATCTTTTAGCAAGAATTTCTCCATCCTTGGGCTCCTCCTCTGGTTCTACATGATAGAGCTCATCCATCTTTTTCATAAAGCCACCATATCTTTTCATGAAGCCACCATATTTTTTGGCTAGCAAATGGCTTTCATCCTCTTTTGGACTGTCCATTAGGATGCTGCTGCTTTCTTGGGGAAGGCCCAGTTTAGTCATCTGAAGAAGTTCCTTGCAGGTTTCCCAGGCTTTGGCAGAAGGCAGTTTTCCTTCACATTCTAGTGTACATGCCTGAAAAATAGTTTGTTTTATAAAGTTATTTTAGAAATAGCAATAACATTTGACATATTGTCTTGTGTTTCAGAATTTTAAATTCTGAATATGGCCAAACAAAACAAAACAAATATACTTGACCTTTTAAAATTCTTCCTGAACTGATGATCTAAGTAATTTCTAAACATAGGAATTGAAAAGATGGAATTAAAAAATTAAAAAGATGTACTCCTCTAAACAGTAGTCTAATAATAGTGATAAAAATTTTGCATGATTTGTAAAATATAGAATTGTTGAGTTTATGGATAGAAGAAAGTGCTCTTGCAAAAAATATTTTTAAGGAATATAATGTCTCACACATCCACACAATGTGAAACTGAATATAGTCAGACTGCCCCTGTCTTCCAGTTTGTTAAAAAATTCTGTAGAAAATATTTGGGATTGGTTAAAAGTGTACAAGAGGAACAGAGGAGTGGCATAAAAGTGACTGAACCAATGATCAGATTATATAAGTATATTGAAAATAAATATATATTTATTGCACAATCCTGTTTCTAAGTGTGATTATTGTAATACAACTTTTTTGAAATAAGTATTTCAGATTTTTGCATGTTATATCAATAAAACTGCTGCAAAATCACTTCATAAAAAATAACAGACTAACTACATTTTTAAGGATGCTGCAGAATAACTTTATTAAAATTAATCCCCAAAGCCTTCTTAAGTAAAACTTTACTAAGTAACAGCTTTAAAGTATTAAATAATAATGAATATTATCCTATGATCTTTCTTCATCATGGTCATGGAAGATACTAACTAGGAGATTTCCCACTAAAGGAAGGAAATAGCACAGTAATTTTTACCAATGGCTTCTTCCTACTGCAGCATATTGCATGTAGTTTTCCCAGCCTCTGCAAAAACACACAGAACTTCAGGATAGGGAAAAATGGTGAGAATTATTTCCCTGCCCCTTTTCTATAGCATAAAAAAGAACTAGACTAAATTACCCTTTAGATCTCTTGAAATCAACAAGGCACATCAGTTTTTATTAATTAAAATCACACTGTTTTGATGAGTCTATGCCTAAACTTGAATCTATCAGTCTGTATACAGTGTTATAATTTGAGCAGTTGATTTATGCCAGGGGTAGGCAACCTTGGCTTTTTTATGACTCGTGGACTTCAACTCAATGGCTCAGCATGGAAACTTCTCCCTTTCTCCTCAGCATGGCTGGCTCAGGAATTCTGGGAGTTGAAGTCCACGAGTCATAAAAGAGCCAAGGTTGCCTATCCCTAATTTATGCCAATAAAGGATATTAATTTTTAAACAGAAGGTGTTGCTTAAAATGATCTAGTTGGATCAGTAAAGTGATTTCAGAGTTCTTTCAACTGAGAAACACTAGTGTCCATAAATCCCATTCTTTCCTATCTGCTTAATTTGTGTTGTTGCTCATTCCATTTCATTGAAGGCAATCCTGGAAATAAGGCATGGATAGCAAGCACATTTGCTAAGGCATCTCTGGATTTAGTACATAATTGCATGCTTACTTGTTGACTGTTCTGATTATCTGATAGAACTCAAGGTAAAGCTCTTATGCAAGGTTTTGCAATTATCCAGACAGATTACTGGTGCTGCCTAAGCTAACTACCTTTGCCTCGTATTGCACAGTTGGATTAAAGAGAAGTATGTCAGCAATGTTGCATAAGTAGTTCAGTACTTCATAATTACATAATTCTTTGAAATTATAATTCAAGCAACCATCTGTAAATGTCTCATTCTGTACTGTAATTTGAATACTTTGAATCATATAAGCTATAAATCCTCCATTTATCCTTCATTTAAGGGATTGAAAACAATTTTGAATAAAGACAACATACACAAATACACATATCTCTCTCCATTTAAACGATTATATATGACTATGAAGTTTAAGGGCTTAAGCTGATAAAAGCAAAACAAAAAGCATATATTAGTTGGCAGTTCAGCTAGTTTTAAAACTAGTAAGGTTTTCTCCAGATATTCTATAATCACTGTTGCTGATAAATCGAAACGTGTGATGGAATATGCACTTGGAGAAGAAATGAGGGGAGGGGGATTCCAGCAGGCAGTACATTCCAGAGATAAACCCAAATTAAGGGACTGCGCAATCCAAAGCTGGATGGGTAAGGGAGGAAGACGTTCCAGATAGCCACATCCTAGAATCTTTCAGCAGAGTTCTACTATATTAGAGCAGGGGTGTCAAATTGTCAGCCCGCAGGCCGGATGCGTCATGCAAAAGCTGCGCCCACCCCCACTGCCGGCTATGGCAAAACTCTCCCGATATGTTGCGTGATGTCACATGACGTTGAGAGTCTGACATGTCTGTATTAGAGGGTTTTAGCTTTAGTCAGGCAAGATTTTGTCTGTTAGGTATAAACAAATGAAGAACTGGATTCAATTGGATTTCATTATATTGTTGTTGTCCTTGAGTCTGACAAAAGTTTCCTTATTGTGTGATGTTCTCAGAAACTGGGATGGCATCCATTTTGATGTATGGAATACGGTATAATTAAAAATTCTACTCAAATGCTGCTTTCAAGGAAATTGGTTTAAGAAACCTCAGAATTATTTCAGAACTATTTTGCTGAATCTTGGCAGGAATGTTTTCTCATGCTGTTTGAGATGATAGACAGACAGACAGACAGACAAGACAGATGATAGACAAAAAGACAGATGCACAGACAGATAAATATGCATACATGCATATAAATAAAATATTTTTGCTGCTTGATTCAATAAGTAGTGGTTGAATTATATGAAAGGTGATTTCAAACACAGGTTGAAGAAAGAAATGCATCTTATAATTAACATCCCTAAATATTCTATTAATTTCCATACTAAATAAAGATTAAACTGTATAAAATCTGTACACTGTACGCTTAATATTAAACATTTTGAGCCATGAGAATTCATTTGGAGTAGCCGAATAGAACAAAGATCAATATGTATACTGAACCTATTCCTAATTTACTCAGCTTTATTTCTTCAGTGCTATTATAATTTAGTACATAGAACATACAATAACAATGTTGGACATTTGAAGGGATATTTGAAACCTTCTAGTTTAATTCCCAGCTTGAGGAGGAGACCCTCTATCATTCTAAATAAATGGTTGTCCAATCTCTTTTGAACACCTTCAATGATGGAGTACCCAAAATTTCTGGAAGCCAGTTGTTTCACTGATTCATTGTTCTCACTGTCAGGAAATTTCTCCCAGATTCGATCTTTCTTTAAGGATCTTCCATTTGTTACTTCTTGTTCTGCCCTCAGGTTCTTTGGAGAATAGGTCAACCCACTGTTCTCTGTGAGAACCTTTAGTACTGGAAAACTGCTATCATTCCTTCTCTTAGCCCTTCTCTTCTTTAGACTAGACATACCGAGTTCTCTCAACCATTCATCATATAGGTCAGCCTTGAGATCCCTGTTGCTCTTCTCTGTACTTTCTTTAGGGTCTCAACATCTTTTTTGTATTGTGGGGACTATGGTAACTTTTCCCCCCAAAATTGGTCCATTCTTGATCTGCAAAATTTAATACTAAAAGGTATGGTTAATCAGCCTATAACCATTTTCATTCATAGCTTTCAGAAAGCAAATGTTGGTTTTATTAGGTCTCTGACACTCATTGTCCTGTTCCATATATCAGTCTAACTGAAATAATGTAGTTTTTCCAAAGGTAATTCTAATTGTTTTGAATTCATCATGGTTGGAAGCAAATAGGTCACATTCTTGCAAGATGAAATATATAATTTCCTTCCTTGACTGACTTTTTCTCTAATTTCTGATTACTAAAAGGATATTAGGAACTTCAGAAACTAGAATAAAAAAGGATCTAGGCCCAAGGTTTATAAGTCAGAGCATCTTAATGGACAGTCCTTAGCTCCTGCATATGTGATTAATTCAAACTATTGAAGTTGATCATTAGCTTTTTTTATAATAAATGTTTCTTGTTCAAACTGAGAGTTTGCTATTGCTTTACTTACACATTCGTTTCTTACTTTTGCTTTTGTTTTTCATGCTTGGAATTGTACTAGCTTGATTTACCAGTTACGACTGTGGCTTTCTTCTACCAGTTTATTTCTTGTAGCTCAGTTTTGATGAAGGAATAATTTATATTCATTAGGGATTCTTTGAGAACCCTTAGGGGTTTATCACTTTTCTCTGAAGTAAGAAAATTCTGCATGCTTGAATATGAATATTTGGCTATAAATTATACCCAGTATACTTCAATAGAATCATGATGCAATTATCATTAGCATAGAGCTGTATGTGAACTTTATTATACAGAAACATTTTGAAAATTCCTTGGTTTTCAAAGTCTGACAGAATAGTTAGCAATTTTTTTGCCTCCCACTAGTGTTAAATCTCATATCCAAAACATTTTTAACCTCTGCAGTATATCCTATTGTGATTATGGTGTGAATGCATATATTCACCTGGGTAACTATCAACCATTGATCAATAATCCTAACTTAATAGATTTGATGTGAAAAAATAACAAAATCGCAGAATTAAGTGAATGTAATAGATTAACATTAAAGTCACCAACAGCCAAAAACTTTTTAGTAGGCTAAAGGAAAAAGAACCAAATATGTAATTAGTAAACTGCGATACCCCTTGTAGCATTAAGTTATGCTATTTCCTGTGTATAACTTTATTTTATGAGAAAGCTTTCATTCTTTATGAAAATAATGCCTATTTTTTCACTTCTGCTGTTCTAAACTAAGAAGGAACCAAACAAAATAGTTATGGAAAGGACTTATTATTCAGGATGAGATTAAACAAAAGGAAAAATAAATGGCTAGCTACTCAAATTTAAACAATATATTTATGAGTTAAAAAAATCAAGTGATTAATTGCAATTCATTTTGCTCTCTTATCTGATGTAAACTTATGCTTATTTGCTCAGAAGTATATCCATCTTTACTCATTGGAATTGACTCATGGAAGTCTACATAGATACATTCACCTGATTCCATCCAATTATGCTGGTTTATAACTCTCATTTTTGGCCAATACAACCATCCCTGAAGTTCTTCAAAGTCTATTGTAATTTAAATGATGCCTTTTGTGGTCATAGAACTACCTTGTACTATCTTTATCTTCAGAGAGCTATTAATTCATTTCCACAATGAAAATCTGATAAAGGAAGAGGTGCTCAACCTTTTGGCTCTGCGGCTTTTATTTTATTTTGCCTCAATTTTCTTTGTGATAGTAATTAATAACCTGATTATTTTAGTTAATATTGTCTTTTAAAATGTATATATTTATTGGAATAATAATGAAGCTAATGATTCTAATTATTTAACAGGAGTATGGTTGAACTCAAACTGCTCTTGCTTTTCATGTGCATGCTGAAGAATGAGTGTAAAACTTGAAAAACAATACCTTTTTATCTCTTTCAAAAATATATTTTGGAAAAAAGTCTGGGAGCTTAATATCATGAAGAGTCAACTGCTGTTTTGCTTTTGAGTTGCAAAGGAGATCGACAGCTAAGAACATAGCAGACACATGCTTTTCTCTATGTCAATCTTATTAGTTTCAATTGTCTTACTTAATTATTAACCAAAGAGATTATATAGAAGAATGCACATGCTCTTATGGATCTGATTATATTTTAAAAACAAATACACAGAAGAAAGACAATGGGGGAGAGGGCAAGAGAAAGGATGTACATTAATATATGATATTTTAAAAATTCATATTGTTTTGGGTCAGATTAGACCCCAAAAGGTAAAATGCAAACCAGGTTCAAATATCACCTGAAACTGAAACAATGTGACCCTTGTCTCCCAGCCTTACCCAATTCCTAGAGTTGTGAGAACAATATGAAAAGACATTAAGAAGAGAATCATATCCTATGCTTAGGCTGATAGAATAGAACAAATAAATACAAGAGTATTTTAAAAAATATTTGCTATCGGGAATGGAGCACTATTTGAATAATAAAAGCTCAATTTCTCCTGCATATCAGTGTAGCTATATAGTTATAAAAATGTAAGAAAGTAGACACTAATTGGATAAAACCTCTCCTATAAGCTTTGGCAAAAATATATACAATCTAGAATAGCCAGATAAAAACTGGATCTCCAAAAGTTGAAAACGTGTGCTATACCTTCTCAAGTGTACTTTCATGCCAGAATCAAGCCCAGGTTTTAAACAGAAATTTCAATCTTTCCTGGATCATATTATTCTCACAAGAGTTCATGTGAGACTTAATTGATCCAGCTTGATAAAATGAGATGGTTGACAGTTTCCAAGTTTTTATCTTCATCAAACTCACTGAAAGGGGGAGGCCACAGAAACCAACAATAGCAATAATTATGCCATCACTATATTATGAGATAAGCAAGATACAGGGAAACAATATAATCAGTGCTTTTTTTGTAAAAAAAAAAAAGTGCTGGAACTCACACACATCATACAACCCGCCTTGCCTACCCTACAAGGTTCCATCCAAAAAAGGTGCCGGAACTTCGTTCTGGGCGTTCTATGAGAAAAAAAGCCTTGCATATAATTGAGGCACTATTGTTTGTACTAATTCTAAAACTCATAGCTTTCATTAAGTTTGCAACATGATGAGCTGAAATATGTGAAAAGCATTCCATCTTATTTGCTATTCCATTCATTGTTTAGCAGGTTACAGCAAAAGCAAGCATTTTCCAATACAGAGAGTTAAAGAGGACTTGTTTGCTCATTGATCTGGCTGTGATGGAATAGAGGAATATAACCAATGAATTTAATACATATTTATTATTAATTAGTCAATGAAGTATATATAACTTGAATATTTAATGTATAGTACTGTTAAGATTGATAGCTACTTTGTGTTGTGGTGTAAGGCAATAGGCTGAGATACCATGAGTTCCAGTTTTAGACAGAAACCCAGATGGGTCAGCCCAAGGAAGAAAACAGTAGCAAACCACTTAGGAAAAAAAAAACAAACAGGGAAAAAAAAAACCACTTAAGAAAAAAAAAAGCCAACAAAAATTCAGGGACTTGTCCCGGCTAATGCCAGAAGTCAAGATTAATTTGAAAGTACAAAAAAAATAAAATACAATAATAACATTAAAAAACATCAATTTTCAAGCAATATTTTACTAGTGAATGAAGTCATAACACTTAAACACATTGGGGAGGAAAATTATATAAATAATACTTTATGTACTATTATAATTTTGTTGATGAAGAACATTGGCTAATCTTCAGTGTTGTAGTGCTTCTATCTGTAGTTGATATACATTAGATTCAGTGCACTGTGTGAAAGTATACATGGACAATAAACTGTAATATAAGTTCTTCAGTGATAATTCAAATCCATCATTGAGTGACTAATCTAAGTTAGTTATCTAATTCTGAGTATGTAATCTATTTGTGCAACTATGAAGTATCAAGCTGAGCCAGGAGAAAGAATCTCAAAATAACAATGAGTAAATTCTGCTTACCAAGGGGTTGATATCAGCATGATACATCAATTGATGGGCACAGGATGCACAATCTTTTGCACATTCTGCCTGAACAGTAAGGATAAGGTATGCGTTAAGAGCCAAAAGCAAGAAATAACACCTCAGAAGCAATGTCATGGTCTGTAAAAAGAAGAAGAATTAAACTCAGTCACAGTATTCCCTTTTTTAATAATAGCAATATATTGCATTAACAAATACATATGGAAAAAGAATCCAAAGTATAATGTTGCAGCATCCAATCTGGGTCGGTCACTCTTCCAAGCTTTTGGATTTGTGCTGGAACTCATCCTCAGGGAACTTGTTTCTCGCAGAGTGTGTGATTTGGACTATTCTCTGTGTGGTATTTACAGTGTATGGCGACTGATTGTCCCAGTGACCAACCCAGATTGGATCCTGCAGTAATGTCTATCATTACATATATGGACAATTTCACACATGATGCTAGAAACAATTAATGAACATACAATTAGAATACATTATTTGAAATTGAGTGCAACCCCCCCTTATCAGATCTCAAATAGCTCCTTTCATAATAAACAGAACAATCCTTTTACAAATATTGGCTTTTATACAGAGTTTCAGTAGAACTCTGGAAAAAAAGGAGGGAAAAATCTTAGTAGCAAACTAAGCAAAGAATAAAATACTTCACATACTTTCACGGGATGATTTAACCGTGAACAATGAACACTTCCAGATCCTATAATATGAACCAGCGGCGAACGAATTTTATCCCGTTCACCTGAAATCTGATTCCATTTTCATCCCCGCCGGCAATGAGCCACGGGAGGCGGGCGAGTGAAACCCAGGCTCTAAGTCTAAAAAAAAAGAGAAAAATCTGGAGAAGGCTAGACTTGGAGCTCAGCTGTCCCCTCCTTCGCCACACGCCCAGACTTACATTTCTTCTCTGCTCCGGGATATACGGTGCGCTTCTGAAGTGAGCTCTAGCTCAGAGCCTCTCGGCGAAGATCCCACGGAAGAACCCTGCGGGGGCTTTCTTCCGAAGAAGCTAACTGACTGCAGGGGAAAGAAAGAAAAGAAAAGAGAAAGAAATGAACAACGGAAGGGAGGGGGGAGAGGAAAGGCATGGCAGCTGGCGAAGAACGACCTACTGCAATACTACAAATCAATCTTACCGAAGAGAAGAGTAGCGGTGCTGGGACTACTTCCTTCGCTTCCCAAGAAGGGTATCTCTTGTAGCTTCGGAACTCTTCAGCAAAATCAGGAGCAAAGAAGTGGAGAAGGCGACTTTATAATTAGTCAAAAAAGAAGACGCGGACACCATTCTCCCAATCGCCTACTGCCCTCTGTGTGACGCAAGACTTACGCCATCCAGTAGGAGTAAAGCATCTGGTACGGGGTGGGGGGAGATGGGGGGAGACGTATCAGCCTGCCTAGGGCCAAAGCAAGACTCACGATTCTGTTGTTCCCTTGAGTGAGTGGGTGGATGTGATAGTCATTCCCACCTGATCAGGATGATATTTCATCCCAGGATAGCTTCTCCCTACCACCCCAAGTTCCAGTGGGGCCTTCCATGTTGACCCTTGGGTCCAATCACCTTTGGCTACATGGGATTTTCAAAAGTTCTTCCTTTCTGCTGGAGGGTTCTGATCCAGATCCCCATCCCAGGGAAAGCTGGAGTGGGGTTTACTTCTTTTTAACATACAGAGGGCCCTGGTAGTAAGGAAGAAAAAAGCAGATTTCATCAGTCAGGATAGTAATAGTGATAAAAATAATGGTGATGGTGACAGGCAAGGCAATTGGGGTCATTTAATTCAAGAGAAGGGCATATGAATGTATTTTTTCTGAAGCTATATATAATGTATATGTATTTAATGTGAAGAAAGGATTACTGTACGAAATATATGTGTTGCTAATAATGAAATCCAATTTTAAGTACACACTAAGGGTTTGAATGCCAGAGTTTACTTTGACTGCTATATAGATCTATCAGGAAAACAATTTACTGTAAAAAAAGGTAGCAGTAAACAACACTGCTGTTATGAAGGACAGCTTGAAATAATACACAACTGTTATATCATTTTTGGGGGAAAAATGCTATCCTTTTACATGTTACCACACAGTAGTCATTTTTTTTTTTTTGCTGAAAACAAATGAGAGCCAATAAATGTTCAAGGGCAGCAGATTTGTTGGCAATAAAATGTTTAATATATATATATATATTTTAAAAAAATGTCTTTGAAACAAAACTTTTAACACATAATTTTTGTGATGTTAGATGAGATTTCTGTGACTTTGAATGACTTTTAATATACTTTTAGTTATCTTCAAAACAAGTATCTTTTAAAATGATAAACATTCACTGTCTATAAAGTATTGGTTGATTCTATTTACTACCTTACTCTGGAATAAACTGTATGCCATTTTTAAAAGCTGCATCAAAAAAGGAAAAAAATATACAAATTCAGATACCCCCTTTTTATATATTTGATTAACTTTAGGTGAACACCATTCTAAAAATCGTACATTGTGGAAAAGCATCCCTGCGAAGAGAAGCAATCAATTCAGTGATGTCAGGCAGAACACTAATTAATCAATTAAATGATTCTTCATGTCAAGAGTAGATACTAGAAGAAAGGCTTGAAGCCAAGAAAGTGTCTCAATTAGCTATATTGAAATAAATCTCTATTTTAATAGTATAACTTCCATAAATCCCATTACAAGGAAGTAGGTTTCAATTGGTTGTTCTATTATTGGTGAAATGAATGAATGGGCACGTGCTTATTTTGTACATGAAGTCCAAAAAGAAATTCAAATCATTAGAACCTAAAGAACCCTGAGCCAGATTGCTGATGATTACATGGACATTTACATCTTATTTTACTCAATTCATATTAAAATGATTTGCCATTATCTTTGTTCAGATTTTTAAAGTTTTTTAATCTAGTCTAGCCTGTCTATTTATCTGGCCCTTCTTAGGCTCCTCTCAGCTGAGATATGAGATACTTAGTAACTCATATCCTTTTATTTTATTGTCCTTTATCTTCATTATGTATTTTTTCCAGATGCCAGAAGACTGGGTTTTTTTGTGTTATTCATATTGTGTATAGAAAGCATTCCCACAAATGATCGAAAATCACAGCTTCTGATTGCTTCATAATTTTCTAGAATTCATAAAAATTGAATGGATAGCTGTTAAAACTATTCTAATTCAGAGAAAAAAATGAAATGAAGATGAGAAATACAGATGTTTTGAAAAGATACAGAATATATACTTGAAAAAAAAGTTTTTGAAGAGGCAGAGCAAAGAAGATGGTTCACTAGATATTGCCCTTGCTATAGTTTCAACTGACAAAGTCATCAACACCATAGCCAAAAAGGCACGAAGAGTTCAAAATACTGCTAAGGACCACGACCTGAATCCTCAGTCTTCAAGTCTGCAGGATCCATTTTGTTTTATAGTTTTAAAAATAGAATATTGAGATTTGATGATTCCAAGATTCTTAAAGTAATCCTTTAAGTAATCCTAGCAACTCATAGTTGGTCCAGATGAAAATCCACTTCTGGCTATCCTAAACCTTTTTTTTTTAATGTCATTCATATTAGGACAGAGATATTGTCTTGTTACTATTGTTTGCAAATTGAAAATGATCCAGAAAACTTTCTATTTTTGATGTAATAACTTAATAAGAAATAGGAAATATAAGACAGGAAAATAGAATTTATTGTGGTAGTGATTTGGAGACATCATATCAACATTATGATTATGATTTGGAGACAGTGTATCAACATTATGTTTCTGTGATCCCACAAATGATTACCACAAGACATTGTCTATTTTAAATTTTTGTAACACATTTCCCTTATCCGTATTATAATTTTTCCTCTTGCTGTCACTCTTTCATCTTTTGTTTACAGAGTAAGAACCCAGAAAAAAGCAAAAGGCACCTTGGGCATTCCTTGAACTTCCACTTTGCATTTAATCTTCCCTGTATCTTTTTTCAGTCAGTTTTGTACACTAGATGGCACTCATTGCCTTGCAGCAGATTTTCAAAGGCAGTCATTTTAACAGCAAGGAAAGTTTATTCAATACTGATGTTGACTGAAAATCATACCTTAAGGCACAATAAGCCATTATAAACATGATCTGAGGGTATGGTTGTGTCTCTGTGTAGTCCATAATCTAGAAAGTGAAGCTTTAGGTCAATTATAAACCTGTATGACAGAAAACAAGCTGAATAAGGTTTCTGTTTGTATCTATTAGACTGAAATGTTGGAAAAGATGGACCGATGGTCTCAAAGTAATCAGAGAGATGCCAGGGCTGGAACTACCGGTACATGATTTAGAGTGGTATCTGAATTTGCGGTAAGGTGGATTAATGAGAGCTAGATAAATCCTTAAATCTACATCTGTATTTATAGGAAAACTAAACATTGTCATGTGGTGAATTAGACAACTGGCTCATATACAGTAAGCCTCTGTTAGATACTCTGATAATAGTCATAGCATTTTGTCCCTTTTATCTTCCAATGATTGCAGATTTGTCTTCACTGACTTTGCAAATTGCCAGCTTTTTGCTTAGGAATTTATCAGTCTGGAGGTTGATAAATACATTGACAAAATAAGTCATAATCATTACCTGTATTTAATAAATTTAGCATGGATTGCATTCAACCTTTCATTTCTATAGTGCATAATGTCTATTGTTTTTTAAAAAACACAACGGCTACAATTTAACCTAAAATAAATTATCCAAGAAAAAAAAAATGCACAGGAAAATCTGATTTTCAGTCCAGAACATAACTAGGTCACAGGTTTTTGTTTTTCAAATAATTTTTTTACAAAGAAGAAATTCATTTTGTTTCATTTTCATTGTCATGTAGGTCAATTATTCAGATAAATTTGGGTATTTTTTTGCATTTTGCAAAGGAATAAAAAATGAGAAAACAAAAATGCAAAGCACCTCTAGCAAATAGACAATGAGCTTTCTTTCATTACTTAGCTTACAGTAATAGTTTTGTAAGCATCCTATTAAAATACATTCTTGTGTTGGGATGATGCGTAGAATATAACATGAACACACAGCAAATATGAAGGTTTCTGTAGAATGCAAATGATTATCCTTCTTGTGTATTTTTTATCAACAAGAAAGAAAATGTTTAGAAATGTTTTATTAGAAATCGCTATTGACAGTTCAGTTTTGATAACCTAAGAGTTTAAAATAATGAAAATATCTTCAACATTCCTATAACTGGAGGGATGATTTTCAAACTCACTGGAGTAATTGTTTGCTAAATATTTTGAACAGTGAACAGTACACCTGTGTGTGAGAGAGAGAGAGTGATGGACTTTTATAATGTAATACACATTTTCCTGAGCATTCAGGCAATTATTGGCTAGTTTCTGTGAAATTGCTGTGGAAGAGACAGAATATTCTCAACTCCTGTAACATTCTAACAGTAACAACTGTTTAAATAATAAACATAATTAAATATTGAAAAAGTGCAAAACCACAACACTTTCTTGCAATAGAATTCTATGGTTATAAGAATTCTGTCATTTTCATTTTCTTGAAATGATTTTGTTCTAGTCTATTGAGAATTAAACAAAGTTGATTATGAAATTATTTTTGTTATTATACTTACAATCATGGTAGTTAATAGTACCATCTAATGCTAAGAGCAAGTTAAACTCATTGCCCTAAAAAGTGACTATCTGTTTAAATTAAAAGATGAATCCTTTACAGCTCAACATTTGGAAACAATCTAGACAGATCCATGTAGCTATCTTAGCGGCATTGGAGAAGTGCTATACTTTCGGCTTCTTCTGTGGTGTTTTTATGACTTCCCAGTTCAGTCTACAGCCTGATGATTCTCTGATGGGCTCCCATATTTTGTAATTAAACAAACTGAGTTGAACAGAGGTACTTAAAATGAGGTACCTGCGGACTATGGAAAGGTACCAGTGCCTGCATTAATTTGCATATTTGCTTTCCCATACCTAACTTAACCTTGAATTCTACAACTACTATGATTTCCTAAGGTTACATAAGATACTGACCCACAGATTAATAGCTCTGGCTAGGTTTTCATGAAACAAAGAAATTACAGTTGGATAGTTTTCTACATAAACAAACTTCTAATAAACAAGAAATACTTTTCTGGTTTAAGTGGGTTCTAATCAAACAATAAGCTGTAATCTTCAGAAAGGAACCTGGAATCTGTTTTCCAGCCAAATGTTCCTTTACAAAAGCTAGAATAACTATAAAGGGTCAGCCAGCATTAATCTTATCTAAAATGGAATGGAACAATCATAATGGTTAAAAGATAATGTTTGCCTTTAGATTGGAAAATTTAATCTGCAATACTCTCAAATTATGTAATGCTCATTGATACTTAAAGGAAAAAATAAAATAATTGTATATTTTATAATTCAGCTGATCTAAATATCACACTGAATCATATTTCTCAGACACAAATAGTCCTTATTTTAGTTATCATAATAACAAAATCTTGATATATATAAGTATTAATTATTTCAAGGCTAAATTCAGATGGTAGGGAGTGAACAGTATGTAAGCAAATTAAAAGCCACAATTTTCAAAAGGAAAAGGTTTAAAGTAAACCATAAAATAAATTACTTTGGATAAAGCAAGACCTGTGGGATTAGCAAAAAGTTAAGAGAGTTATAGTTGGGGATAGACCACAATTTAAAACCTTGTTGAAAAGCATAAACATGAAATTACAGAACCAACTGGGATTTTAATCAGTTTGCAACTAATGCATCATACATATTATGATGCATAGCTATACTACATAACAATAGGTTGTTTCGAGCTAGATAGAATGCAGTGGTGCCAA